GTAGGAAGCATTGTAATCATTTTCAGGCCATTTTGAGCCGGTGCATCCGGGCCCCAAAATCGTAGGTATACCCCTTTGGTCTTAGGAGCCCTGTGTGAAGCCCTTTTCCGGAGCTGATAACTTCTGTACGCCTAACGGGCAGCTCCTATAGGCTCATATAGGCGATAGTTTAGGGTCCTATGGTCCAATAGGCATGCCTATGTCAGCTGCTCATTGCTTCATTAATGATTGCAAACTCAATTTAATTTAATGCACAAAATCGGTGCCACTCCGGAAGCATTTGGCAGTTTTAGGCCAATATCTCTCTATCTGTCGCTTATCACGCCATTTCGAGGCCATTTTCGGAGGCATAAATATTTCCTCTAAGACATGTTAGGAAAGCATGTGTAATCATTTTTTGGCCATTCCGAGCCGGTGCTTCCGGGCTCCCAAAATCGTAGTTATACCCCCTTTGCAGGAAGCCCATGAGTCGAAGCCCTCGTTCTGGAGCCGATATCTTCTGTAGACCTTAACAGGGGGCAAGCTTCCTATAGGCTCATTCTAGGCCGAGTCGTTTAGGGGTACTTGTGTCAAATCGGTACGCCTATCTCGACTAGCTCATTGGCTTCATTATGGATTGCAATTACAAATTAATGTGCAAAATCTAGCTGCCACTCCGAGCAAGCATTTTGCAGTTCTAGCCCAAATAATCACCCTTCTGTCTGTCACTTGTCTCACTGCCATTTCCAGGCCATTAAAATCCTCGGTAAGACATGTAGATAGCATTGAATGCATTTTTGGGGCTATTCCTAAGCCGCGAAGCTCTCCGGCCAAGGCTCCCAAAATCGCTAAGGCTATACCCTTTGGGTCTCAGGCGAGCCTTGTTGAAGCCCTATTCGGAAGCCGATATCTTCTGTACGCCTGATTGGAAAAGCTCCTATAGGCTCATCTAGGCGATGCGTTTAGGGTCTTGTGTGTCAAATCGGTTATCCTATCTCCGACTGCTTCATTTGCCTTCATTATGCGATTGCAAACTCAATATTAATTTAATGCGCAAAATCGATTTGCCCACTCCGAAGCATTTGGCAGTTTAGCCATAACATCTCTCTGTCTGCGCTTATCATGCCATTTCGAGCCATTTACTACTTTCCTCTAAGACATGTAGGAAGCATTATAAATCATTATTCTGGCCAATTCCGAGCCGGTGCTTCCAGGCGCCCAAAATTCGTAGTTTACCCTTGTCTAGGAGCCATGAGCTGGGAAGCCTTGTTTCTGGAACCGATATCTTTTGCTAGGCCTTAAACGGGCGCTCCTGTAGGTCATCTAGCGATCGTTTAGGATCGTTTAGGGTCTTGTGGTCAAATCGGTACGCCTATCTCGACTGCTCATTGCTTCATTATGGATTGCAAACTCAATACAAATTAATGTGCAAAATCAGTGCCACTCCGTAAGCATTTGGCAGTTCTAGCCCAACATCTCTCTGTCTGTCCCTTGTCATGCCATTTCCAGGCCATAAAATTTCCTTTAAGACATGTAGTAAGCATTATAATCATTTTCGGGCTATTCCGAGCCGGAGCTTCCGGGCCCCAAAATCGTAGGTATACCCCTTTGGTCTTATAAGCCTTGTGTGAAGCCCTGTTCCGGAGCCGATATCTTCTGTACGCCTGATGGGCCTGAGGGGGAAAGCTCCTATATGTCATCTAGGCTTTATAGTTCTAGGTTCTTATGGTCAATCGGTATGGTCTATGGTCCAATCGGTATGCCTATCTCGGCTGCTCATTGCTTCATTGAGGATTGCAAACTCAATACAATTTATGCGCAAAATCATTACCACCCGGAAGCATTTGGCAGTTTTAGCCCAATATCTCTCTGTCAGTCGCTTATCACGCCATTTTGAGGTCATAATATTTCCTCTAAGACAAGTGGGAAGCATTGTAATTATTTTTTTGCCATTTCGAGCTTGTGCTTCCCGGCGCCGAAATCATAGGTATAGCCCTTTGGTCTTAGGAGCCCTGACTGAAGCCCTATTCCGGAGCCGATATTTTCTGTAGGCGTGATGGGCAGCTCCTGTAGGCTCATCTAGATGATAGTTTAGGTTCTTCTGGCCCAATTGATATTCCTATCTCGGCCGCTCATTGCTTCATTAAGGATTGCAAACTCAATATAATTTAATGCGCAAAATCGGTGCCACTCCAGAATCATTTGGCAGTTTTAGACCAATATCTGAGTTTCTTAGCCCAATATTCTCTCTGTCTGCTCGCTTATCACGCCATTTCAGGCCATAATTATTTCCTCTAAACATGTTAGGGAAGCATTGTAATCCATTCGGCCATTCCGAGCCAGTGCTTCCGGGCCCCAAAATCGTAGGCTTATACCCCTTTTGCGTCTTAGGAGCCCTAGAGTGGAAAGCCCTGTTCGGGAGCCCGATATTCTTCTGTAGGACCTGGACGGGCAGCTCCATGTAGCGCTTCACTTCCTAGGCGGATAGTTTAGGTCTTATGGTTCCCAATCGGTATGCCTATCTCATGTCCATTGCTTCATTAAGGATTGCAAACTCAATATAATCAATGCGCAAAAATCGGTTGCCACTCCTAAGCAATTTGGCAGTTTTGGAGCCCAATATCTCTCTGTCTGTCGCTTACATCACGCCATTTCGAGGCTCTATAATATTTCTCTAAGGACATGTCTGTAGAAGCCATTGATAATCATTTTCGGGCATGGTCGAGCCGTTTGCTTTCGGCGCCCCAACAATCGCTTAGAGGTATACCCCTTTGCGTTCTTAGGAGCCCTGCAGCGCAAGGGCCCTGTTCCTGGAGCACTGAGATCTGCCCGGGTATCTTCTTGTTAGGCCTGACGGGGTCTAAGCTCCTGTAGGTCATCTAGGCGCATAGGTTTAGGGTCTTATGCTACCAATCGGGCTCATCTAGGCGATAGTTTAGGGTCTTATGCTCCAATCGGTATGCCTATCTCGATTGTTCATTGCTTCATTAAGGATTGCAAACTCAATATAGTTTAATGCGCAAAATTGGTGCCACTTTTAGGGATAAATGAATATATTGTTTCTCCAATCTTTCCCTTGCCCTTAGTGGAACTGAAGTTTCCTTTACTTGCCATTATAGAAAAATAATATGTAACTTGGAAAATTGAATAAAAAAAATTAGAGAGAACAATTAGAGATTGGAATTTGAAGAAATTAATTGACAATAATTTGGATAAATAATTGGAAATTGGACTTTGAAGAAATTATTTTGCAATATTTTGGGTAGTAATTTGTGAATGAAAATTAGAGAGATGATAGAGTAGAGAATAATATAGAGGAGAGAGAGTATAGATAATTTTGTGTGAGGAGATTGTTAATGGAACAAGGTATTTATAATAAATCCAAAAAATTATTTTTTCACAAATATCCTTGAAACTAGCCGTTATGCAACTGTTTATAGTTGTTAAGAGTGGGAATTGGGAATTTCACAAAACTATTTAAAAAAAAAAAAAAAAAAGCTATTGGAACCAGCTGAAACCGCCGGCTCTAACCGTTTGACATAAAATTCAACATTACTTGGAACCGCCAGTTTGAACTATTGGTTCCAACCGCCGGTTCACGGTTCTAAAAATAGTGGAACCAGAATTGAACTGTAGGCCATCGATTCTAGTTTTGGTTCGGATCAATTTCAGTTTCGATTCCCACTTTCTGGTTCTGAAAATCGTAGTATGGTCACTCCTGCTATCAAGCGTCTCCTAAGGCAGGACATGCACCTACAACAAAACCTTGAAAAGAAAAAAGGTTCTTGAATAAGTTTAAAATGAAAAAAAAAAAAAAAAAAAAAAAAAAAAAAAAAAAAAAAAAAAAATCTACTATACCTTAAAAAAAAAAAAAAAAAAAAAAAAAACTTATACCTAAGGGGAAAGCAAAGTATAAGACACAAAATCGGATGGAAATTATTTAATCAAAGAAGCGTATGTAGGAAGATGAATTTTAAAGGCAAGTAGATTAAATTTAAATTTGTAAAATTCGATTTTCAAATATAATTCTAATATAAATATAACACTTCAAAATTTTTTGTCATTAATTTTTTAAATTTAGAAAGTATTTAATCAAAATGTAAAAAAATAAGTAAAAAATTAAAAAATTTTTTTAAAAAGAAAAATAGAATACTAAACAAAGACAAAATCTTAAACTTTTCTTATCTCAACTTTCATGTGTAAATGTAAATGCTTAGCTTAGTTGGTATAGGACATGTCATATGTTAACAATTGGTAAAGTCATTTTTCTCGTTATTGATATCCTTAATTATGTTGGTAAACCGTCTTTAGTTTTTTTTTTTTTTTCTTTGTGCAAGTAACAATATATATAGTGATAAATAGTACACATTCTATTTTTACACAGATTAAGAAAGTAACAATTATTATAGTTAAAAAATAATTCTATTCATATAACTTTTTTATTATGTTCATTTTAAATAACATTAGAAATTATTATATTGATATAATAAATAAAAATTAATGAGAGTTATTGAAAATAAGACAAAATTTAATAAGGATATAATAGATTATTCAAGAATTAATTATAATGCAAAACAGAAAAATGAACTCTATTTTAAAATAAACCAAAAAAAATATAGACTATTTTTTTGGAACAGAGGAATATATATTAATTGCATGGCTTTCAATTTATTTATGGATGGGCTTTTCATTCTTTTTTAAGATGGCAATTGATGAAAAGTCACCGGCCACAACTAACGAGGCAACTAAGCATAGCTACCGGTTCACGATCCGGAAAATTTCTTTTAAAAGATTTTTATTTAAAATTTTAAATATTAATTTTAACTAATGATATTATAGAGCATTAATATATTTTTGAGTATTGGAGCAGAAATATTAATTTATATATTTTTAAGTATTAAGAGAGGAGATTTCGAGTTTATTAACAAAATTTAATGAGATTTTTTTTATTGCTAAACCAAATCTTAAAATTTAATTAAACCCGTTGATCCATAAACCAATTGAAAACCAAGCAAAACCATAATTTTGGCTAAATCAAACTCAAATCAAACCTGATTTGAATCAAATCAGCTACTGATCTAAGGATTTCTCTAGAAACCAAATTTTCCCAAAAACCAAAATCCCCTCCTTCCCGATTTCACGGACCCAGCCCCTCCATCTGCGATTTCCGGTCACCGCTTGGTCCGGCCATCGCCGGCTCCTCCTGCCGCCGTCTTTCTCTCTCCGTTTCCGTTTCTGGTGAGCGCAAAAATCACAGACGAAGCTGCTACTTCATCCCGATCGAGAGAGTCGCGTCTCCGGCCTTCCTTCGTCTTTCCGGGACTCCAGCTCGACCGGCCGATTCCAACTTCCTTCTCGTGGCAGCTTCGCTCGATTTCTCTCTCTCCCTTCCTGTTCCGGCTGGTGCAGCAATCAGGAGAAGCTGTGACTGTGGTTGCGATCGGGACAGTCCCGTTACCCATTTTCTTTGCATTTTTCGGCGAGCCCCAGCCAAGGACTGGCCAGGCTGGACCTCCCACCTCATCCCTGGTTCCTCTCTGATCACTCTCTTCTGTCTCCGGTAAATTTAGCGGCGGCAGTAGCTAGCTCGAGGGAGACGTTTTGACTACGGATCGTTCTAACCGCAAAATTTCGATTCCGGCGTGTGTTGCGGCTGGGTAAGCAAATTTCCAATCTTCAGTCTAGTTTATAAACTCCTTGATCAGATATGGTAGCTTTAAATCATGAATTTACTGTTGCAGATATTAGACCCTAACTCCTATTGTTCATGCATATTTTTACTAGGGAAATTTGAGTTTCTAATTCAGTATTGAATTAATAGCTAATTTAATGGAGAAGTTAGCATGAACAAAGAGGTTTTAGTTTAAAGATAGGTATGGTAATATGGCAGCAACTAATATTGTTAATTACTTGAGCTATTGTTGAACTATAAATCAAATGAAGTCGTAAATCAAATTCTTGATTCAATACGAATTATTTTGAACATAGTATTTAAGTTCAAGTTAAGGAAAACCTATTATTTTGGTAAGCAATAACTGTTGTGAATAATTGGTTATTACTTGATAGCATTATTTTTGCTAAGTAAACAATTCAATCATAGATCTCTTCAGCTATATCCAGGAATGGTATTTTATGTCATGAAGCTTTAGTTGGTATGTGTTTAAGTTGTGAATTGGTTACTTAGAAGATGTATTTATTAAATTGTAATTTAATTCAAGCATTTATTCTTAGTGAAGAGACTAGAATTTTAATGAATGTTTAAATATGTTGTTTATACCTTAAGCAAAGAATGATTGTTAATATTATTGTAACAAGTTTGAAGGTTACTTTAAGTTGAAAAATTGATGGTTTAATGTTGACATTGTTATTTTGGATGGAAGAAGGGAAATAAATTCGTCTGTTTGCTGGATGGATGGGCTGGGAGAGTAATGATTGATGTGTATATAAAATTTGTTAATATTTGAGCAGTTGGATAGTTCTATTTTTAGGGGAGATGTTGTCGAAATTTCGATAGAATTTAGGTTAGTAATGTGTAACGATTAAGTATATAGGCTTAATTAAGTATAAAATCTTCAACCTAATTTATTTTTAAGTAAAGTTCTTTATTTAATTCAGTATTTTCTTTGTATTTGTATTTAATTGAGTTTGTCTACTGCTCTTACCAGTCAAATCCAAATTGGCGCTCCTTCTCTTCTTTATCGCTAATAAATAGTGCATGTCATCATCCTAATCAGGTTGATTCCATCAGCTTCATGTTGAAGATTTTTTTATATCAATTGTTATCTAATTTGTGTTTATATTTACATTTTGTAAATAATTACTAATAAAATCATACTTTTTCAAATTAACATTTTTTATCATTTTATTTATAATTATTTTAAAATAATAAATTTATATTAAATATTATTTTAAAATTTTAATTAGAATTTTTATTTATATAACATGTTAAAATAAAAAAGAATATATTTCACATTAGAAATTAAAATATACAGCTTTTTTCACCTTTAATGGTTATTTTACATTTTAGTAGCAACCGCTGCAAAAATTTTATAGAATACCAACAATCCGCTATCAACTATGAATTGATATCAGCAAATGAACGGCTAAATACAACGACCCTAAACTAAATTTAACAAAGAGAGGATAGAAAATAGTGAAGGCACGCACATGCCACGTGATGTCAATAGTATATCCTGGAGTATGATTTAGTTGTGATTCTATAAAATTACAAATAGTACATGTTATTTCTTTTTCGTTTTTTTTTTTTTTTTTTTGGTCTGTGAAAATGTTAATTTTGATGTCGGATTTGAGCAGTGAAATCTGGGTGGGGGATTATATGAGGGGAAGATGGTATTCATGGATCTGGAAAATGATTTTGATTTGAGAACCTATTTTTGATAGGTTTGCATATGGTTAAGTGAATTTGGAAATTGAATTTTGATAAAAGCTTTGTTTTCAGTTTAGTTCAAAAGAAATCCTTTGAGAAGTGCTTTTTCTGATTTGATGCTAATTCAATATTAAACTTTGTTAGACTTTGATTCGATATAAAATTAAGGCTGAGTTTTATTTTATACACTTGTCAAGTTGAACACTGCCAGAGGTGATTAAATCAGTGGTGAAGAACAGTGCCCTCGTAGATCTTTTCTTTGTCCTTTTTTTTTTTGGAAACTCAATTGATTATTTGATCTAATGATCCATTATATCTATTCAAACACAAGAATTCAGTGTGAGATAAGACTGCCTAGTAGATCCATTTTGAGGGAAGAAATGTGTCTACCTTCTCTCTGTTTCTTATAATGCATGGTGTGCTTGAAGTACCATTAATAATAAACTTGCAAAAGCATAGACATCATATGCCTTATATGAGTTTATAAGTAGCTCTATTGTTATGCCCTTTCTTTCTTCTCTTGTTAACTCTTGGATCTTCATGATATTGCGTGTTAGGTACTGTATATATTTGTCAATGGAAAGTTATTTGAAAGGGTAATGAGATTCTTATGTTTGGTTTTTCGAACCTGTGATTATTGAGACAAATGGAACTCTATTGACTTGAACATTCTTGTTTTTGAAACTTTGAACGAAGGACTAACAGAATTCTATTGGTTATTGAAGGGAGTTCAATGTGGTACCATGACTAATTGCCAATATATTGGTAGTATTTTAATATTTTTACTAAATTGTCAATATTTTTTACATATTATTTTTACCACTCGATTCGTTTTTTTTTGGAGTAGGTCTCTATTAGTGCACCTGCGTGTGTTGAGAGAGAACTTTGCATGCTCTTTTATTGTATGTTGAGCAGTTGTAGGTTCCCTCTTCTCTTTCAAAAGTTTCTAGGTCTCATTATCATCCCAGAAATATTGGTTTTGTTTTTGTACAAATTGCTGCTTTTGTTATTTTCTCTTCAGAATCAGCCTGTTTTTCAGGGCTAAATTTACATGATTGTTTCCTTGATAATAATTAAGAAGGTATGTGATGTTCTCAATGTTGATATTTCATTAGTTTTCTGCCTTCGTATTATAATTGAATATTAGTCAATCCAAAATGCAACTTAATTGTCGTTTTCTAAATAATTTACATATTCTTATTCATGTAATGATTCTCTTTGATTTTTATCTTTCATTATTACTAGCAGAAGAAGAGGAGGAAAAAAGTGAATGAAATGGCGCAGGACAATGGCATAGCAGAAACCAAAAAGAATGAACCTGGTGTAAACGTTGAAAAGAAGCACAAGGGCCTTTTGTCTCGTATCTGGAATGGCATTTTTAGACTTCACCATGCTGATTTTGAGAAGAGATTGCAGAACATATCTAAGGAAGAAGCTGCCGTTTTAGCTAGAATGAAGAAGCGATCACTTACCTGGCGAAAGATGACTAGGCATCTGATTATTTTCTCTGTCATTTTTGAGGTTCTTATCTTTTCCCATATTAGACATTGATATTTTCTTTATTCTTGGATTCCAAGTGGCAATGCATTCTTCCATATGTGCATCCTTTTGTTGCTATGCTGGTAAACTACAAATTCAAACACTTGTACACATCCTTTTATATGGTAGAGCACCTAATGACAGATTCACCTGTGAAGTTTTACATCCACTAGACAAATGTTTTCATGTTTGACTTGCAGAGACTTGCTAATAACTAGTCTTGAATTTGTGGGAACAATGTGGTGAAGTTGACATCTTGCCATTTGCTATTCACAATCTTATTTTACAAACTTCCCTTATCATAATTGTTCTATAAACCAGGTAATTGCTGTAGGTTATGCTATCATGACAACAAGATCAATGGATTTGAACTGGAAGATGAGAGCATTTCGAGTTTTGCCAATGTTTCTTTTGCCTGGTTTATCATCTCTTGCTTATTCAACATTTGCGAGTTTCACAAGGATGTGTAAGTGTCCCAACTTACAGCAAATTGATTTCTTGAAGCCTTTCATGTTCATTTAGATTCTGGAGTTCCCTTTTCTTTATGTTTTAAAAGTATGTGAACTTGCTTTTTCAATTAATTTTAGACTCAAAAGTTTGTATATGTAACAATCCAACAGTGGGTGCCAAGCGCAATATGTTAAGCTGAATCAGGTTTAAATAAAAATAAAATCTTTAACTTGGATGCTAGATGTGTAGGGTTACTAGCATATGCAATACAAGCTAGAAGTTCATTTCAACAAATGAATTGGACCAAAACAGAAATTTTAACATGTGATTTATTTTTATTTGAAGAGAGAGCAGCAAGGCTTTAGACATAGGACTTTATATGTCTACTTGCCTCTATCTGGATTTCATAAGTATTGTTTGATATGTCAAGACTGCAAAAGTTTTGACCCCTATACTGTAGGTTTCATGTAGGATTGGCATATTATTGATCCTTAAGTTCATGGTCATGCAGGTGATCGCAAGGATCAGAAAACTCTAGAAAGGTTGCGGGCTGAAAGGCAAGCGAAAATTGATGAACTTAAAGAGAAGACAAATTACTACACTACGCAGCAACTCATTCAGGTAAATAATGAAATGGCCATATTGTCATCCAGTAACTTTTCTTTTCCATATAACTACCTTGGAATTTTGGTCCTTTTCATTTCTAATCCTTTTTTCGTATAAATGTATCCGTGTTTGCATGTGTGGTGTGTTGGGTTTCCTTTAAAATATCAGTACTTGAGGCATCGGCATAGATGCATTTAGCAGGCATCATTTTGTGCAGTTTGGAGTGTATGCATACATACATTTTTATTTCTCTATTAGTTTTTGAATTGGCAAATGATTAAATAATATATGTATGTTAATTTGTATGAAGTGATGAGAGGTAGTTTCTGATCTGGCCAAGTAATTTAACTGCCTATTTTTCCTTCTAATTTTTTTTTTGTTTTTGACAATTAGGTTTATTCTTACATTGGACATTGAAACCTAAGGAGACATGTAATGTAGGAAAATATTATCAAGTGTTATAGCTGAAGTTTTTGGCTATTCTAGGGGTTAAAAAAGTTTGCAATTGGCATCTCATTGGAATGAGTCGTGGACATTCTTTGATGTTCTCATTAGAACTGTGTTTTCATCAAATTGTGCCTTGGCATTTTAGGTGAGCATTAGGATACCTAGTAATTGCTAGGATTCTTACTTGTGTTCACTAAGTTTTTATGTTACCGCTTGACACTTGATGTAAACATCTCTTTGCTTCAATAATCTTTCACTATGAACATGTTCTTTTGACTATGAAGGCATGCATCCATGATGAGGATTCCCTTATATTGTTGAGGTCATGTATCTGAGCTATGTTATTTCACATTATCACATCTGTTCTCTTATTTTGTCCAATCACAAGTTTGTGCACAAATCATACTTTTTCTTGCTGCCCATAAATTTTAGCAACTGGAATTTGCAAACTCTATCAGGAGTCCCTAAATTTTTATCCTAGGAACTTGAATTAAATTATTTTAGCAAATAATGTTTGGCATTATAGGCATGGTTTTAAAATTTTCCTTTCAAAAATTTTTTGTGCATAAAGTATTTCAAAATTTTTTCCAACTGCTTGCATTAATTTGATCAAGGCAGATACTGGAAACAAATCATTCTAGTTTGGGACTAAGGCTTGTTGTTGTTGTTCTAATTTTACTTGGTTTAAACCACATGTAGAGATATGATCCTGATCCAGCAGCAAAGGCAGCAGCTGCAACTGTGCTTGCATCTAAGTTGGGTGCAGATTCTGGCCTAAAAGTGTATGTGGGTGAAGATGAAGCTAAGCTTAACATTCCAACAGGGAAGAGTAAGGATGTTGAGTTTGCAGAAGCAAGCGGCCTTAGAAATAGAAAGCAAGTGGACACTAGATCTAGCAGTGCAGGGAGTTCTCCAGTACGCCATTCTAATGAAGAAATGCTATGTTCTGGACAACGCGAGGATCTTCAAAATTCTAAAGATAACCAACTTGTCGTTCAGCATCATAATCCAAAGTCTTCACTGGTGCATGATGGAGGGTGGATTACTCGATTAGCAGCATTACTTGTAGGCGAGGATCCTACACAATCTTATGCATTGATATGTGGCAACTGCCATATGCACAATGGTAGGGGGACTGCGGTTTACACTGCTCTATTTATTAATTCATGTATTTGGATAGAAAATATTACCCTTCCATTATTGATTTACCATATGCAGAATTGTATCACGAATCCTAGCATCCCCATTTCCATTATGCAACAAAGCATGCATATGTGGGCACGTGTACCTGCACACCCCAAACTTATTGTGTTTAATGCTGAAGGTTTATGGCTTGATTTTGTTTTCTACAGGCCTTGCGAGGAAGGAGGATTTCCCATATATTACTTACTTCTGCCCACACTGTCATGCCCTGAATCAACCAAAACAATCAGAAGAGAGTGTTTCTACTTCAAATTTGGGCACTCTGACAGCTGGTGGCGATGTTGAAGCCGTCAACGATGCCAGTAATCCCCCAAGTGACAGCATTCTACAAAGTAACAGCCCTACCAGAGCTGATTCAAAAAATGATGAAGTAGCTGAAATGCCAGCATCATGAGAGTTGGCTACTTAAGAGTCTCGATGTATGATTACAGGTGATAAGTTTGACCTTGTTCTGCCTTTCATCAGATCTTTGATTGCCATTTTGAGTCCTGGAATGGTAATATTGTGTATGCTTGAGATTTTGGTGGTTGGTACTTTTTGTACTTTATGATGTATAAATATATCATGGCTCAATTATAATAGTGGAAATTGTATCTGCTCCTTATGTCTAGCTTACGGCTGAAGGCCCTTTAGGGTTGTTTGTGTTAGAACACTTTCTTCATTTCCGTACAGAAAGCCTCAAAAATGAATGAAATGATATTCAACTTTTTAAATGATTTGATTTTTTATGAGAACGAAATTGGTGAGAGTAATTGTTTGAAAAATGTTTGCTTCGTCTAAAAATTAGAGCGATGGATAAAGGAAATGGCTGTTCCAACTCTGCCAAAGTATTTCTTACACCAGTTTAATTCAGTCACCTATCATATTGTCCGGGTGATCGCAAATGAATGACTCTAATAAAGAAATGAACACCACAAGGTGATTAATCTGCGGATTAATCCTTGGGCAGAGAAGCTACTGGTGATTTGTATGTTGTGAGATATGTTAATCAAACATTTTAGTGCATGAAATGAAAATTACAAGTTGGAGTGATAATTAATTAATCAGGATCTGAAATTCGAATATGAAAATTAGACAACTATCATGGAATATGCCAAGTTAACTTCTTTCCTCTTCGATTAACAAGGTCTTTAGGGTTTTGAGAGAGGAGTCAACTTTGACTGACAGTGAGATTCTTCTTTTTCATTGAAGTCTGAAATTGAGGAAGTTATTCCGGATGAAAAATTCGAACGTACCGCTTTGATCTAAGAGGCCCTGCAATTACGCTTGCTTTGGGACTGATGTTCTAGTTTAAAATTGTATACATGATATCTTCCGGTCTATTGTTTGGCACAACATTTTTAGACTACATATCTGGTCCATCAACCTATAGGATGTAACAATATCTAGCTCGAGCGATTATGTAGCCAAGTTTTCGGTGCCCCAAAGATACATCTCTTTGGTCTAAGAAGTGTTATAATCAAACTTACTCCGGAGTTGATGTACGTCTAATGGACAACTCAGATAGGGTCTTTTGCAAGATAGTGTGGGTTTTGGCGTACAGAACATTTTTATCCCGTCTACTTGTACCTCATTTGAAATTGCAAATGCAATATAAATTTATCCAAAAAAATCTTTCACTCTGTAAGAATTCAACAGTTTTGATTCAATATATCTATGTCTATTATTTTACATAACAATTTAAGACTACAATAGTTGGTCTATTGACATGTAGAACCTAATGATATCGAACTTGGCCATTTCATATAGGAGCTTCCAAGCGTAAAGACTCAAAGATATACCTCTTTAGTCATATAATTAGTCACCACATTACCAATAAACATCAATTATAAATTAACTATAATTCTTTTTCTAAATTAAGGACATAAAACTCTAAAAATTTCAATTCATGAAATTAAGAAGAGATTGAGATAAATTGAACACAAACCTTATTCAAGAAGGTTAAATTTTAATTGTTTATTATTGATTATTTGGTTAATTATCTTTATTATTTTGTTGTTTTTTTTATACTATTTTCATTAAAAAATTTTGAACACATAATATATGTTTACTTATGAAATTATACTATTTTTTTTATTTATATGATTGCAACGTGAAGATTTCATTTAATGAATTGTGTATATAAATAAATTGGTCACATAAAATGATAAATTATATTTTCGCCCTCCAACGAAAAATTAGTGGCTCCGTGGGAAAAGCGAAATGATTTATACGTAAATATGAAAAGTGAAAATATGAAAAGAAAATACAAATATTAACGTGAAAAGGCATGGTTTGGAAGTTTTAGCCATTAAATAGGTTACTGTTAATATATAATTAGGACGGGGAGTTCTAATGGCAGAGAGGAAACTCTTTGAACGGGACAACCCTAGCGAACACCCTACGGAGCGAAAAACTTGCTGGATTTCAATAGAATTTCAATAAAATTTGCTTGCCATTCCTTCAAGCTAATTGGGTTTAAATAGACTGAAGTATCTTACAAATTTGGGAATAAATTCCTAAATTACCTCCTTAATTGATGCCCATTGACTCCTAATTATGGTTAACAATTACAGCCTTAATTAGCTCCCTAAATTGATGGTCATTTACAGCTATCTTACAAAAGTATAGCCAGCCTTAATTAGCTCCCTAATTGATGGTCATTTATAGCTATCTTACAACAGTATAGTCAATTAATTATAATAGTATACTAACATCCCCCCTCAAATTGTTACAACAGTATAGTCAATTAATTATAATAGTATACTAACATCCCCCCTCAAATTGATGCTAGGCGATCAAGAAGCATCAATTTGCCAATAAGAAATTGATGACGCTGTCGTGTCATAGATTTTGTGAACACATCAGCAATTTGAAGAGCAGTGGAGACATGTGGAAGAGAAATGACACCTGTATTTACGACCTCTCGAATAGAATGACAGTCGACCTTCGATATGTTTGGTACGTTCATGAAAAATTGGATTTGTAGCAATTTGTATGGCACTAGTGTTGTCAGCATGCAGAGGAGTAGAATGAGGCTGAGGAAATCCAATTTCAGTAAATAACCCACATAACCAAACAATCTCTGAGCAAGCAGCAGACATAGCCTGATATTCAAACTCAATAGAAGATTTTGAAACACGGTCTTGTTTCTTACTTTTCCAAGATATTAAAGAATCGCCAAGAAACATACACCAACTAGTTATAGAGCGTCGAGTATCTAGACAACCGGCCCAATCAACATCACTGTAAGCAACAAAGCGTACGGGAGAGCCAGGAAGACAGAATAAACCCCGAGAAGATGTGCCAAGAAGATAGTGAATGATTCGACGAACTGCCACCAGATGTAAGTGACGCGGAGTACTCATGAATTGACTGACTTGCGGAACTGCAAAAGAAATATCGGGCCTTGTAATAGTCAGATAATTCAAACTGCCAACTAATTGCCGATAAAGAGATGGATCAGGAAGAAGATCTCCATGATGGATCAGGAAGAAGATCTCCATCTTGACTATGATACTGGACGTTTAATTCCAAAGGAGTATCAACTGGGGATGAATCTTGAAGGCTTGTTAAAGTAATCAAATCTGTAGTATATATTTGTGTTGATGCAAAAATATCCCAGAACAATCATAGTAAACTTCCAGCCCTAAGAAATATGTAAGTGGACCAAGATCCTTCATATTAAAAGAAGTTTGAAGAGATTGTTGGAGATTAAGGATCGTTGATGTATTAGTGCCAGTAATAATAATGTCATCTACATAAACAAGAAGTAGAACAAAACCAGCAGAACTCTTGTTAAAGAACAAAGAGGAGTCATATCTACTTTGCACAAATGAGAACTAAAGTAAGGTAGACCGAAACTTATCAAACTAGGCACGTGGAGCTTGTTTTAGTCCTATAAAGACCTTTTAACTTACACACATGTGTGGAAGATGAGGAAGTAAAACCCAGTGGAAGTGTCATATAAATATCTTCTTTAAGATCACCATGAAGAAAAGCATTTTTGATATCCATTTGATGAAGAGGCCAACCCTGAGAAGCAAGCAGAAACTACATAATAGTAAATGACAGTAGTCATTTTTTGCAACTGAAGCAATAGTCTCCTCATAGTCCCTCTGTACTTTTGCTTATTACAAAGAGCAACGCACATCGGGCTTTTTTATAATCCAAAGTTCCATCAGAACGAAGCTTGACTGAATAAACCCATTTACATCCAATGGGCTTAACATTTGGAGGGCAAGGAAGAATTTCCCATGTATGATTGTCATGAAGAGCTTGAAGTTCGTCCTGTATGGCTTGTTGCCAACATTCATTCTTGCAGGCTTGTGAGTAACAAGATGGAAAAGAAATATCAAATAAACTGGCAAAATATCCAATAGGATTATTAGAAAAACCATACCATCTTGGAGGTCGAGATACTCTGGTAGATCGACGCAGAATAGATTCAGGAGAATCAGACATAGATGATGGATCAATCTCGAGAAGAGGCACCATTGGTTGACGTCTTTCATACGCAAATCCAGACTTAAACCGATTAGACACAATTGGTAAATCCTCAAAAATTGGAAGAATGGGAGAAGTAGAAGAAGATTCAACAAGATTAGGAAAGAAATATTGATGCTCAAAGAAAATAACATTTCGAGAAACACGAAATTTGTTAGAAGTTGAATCATAGCAAACAGAACCCTTTTGAGAAGAATTATAACCCATAAACGCACATTTAACAGATTGAGCTGAAAGTTTAAGACGTTCATGAGAAGGTAGATGAACAAAACAAACACAGCCAAATGTGTGTAAATCATGATAATTAGGATATTGATGATGCAAATGAAAATATGGGGAGCCAAGATTTAATACCTGAGAAGGCATTCTATTTTCCCTATTAAATTAGACTAAGTTTGCAGTAGATAAGGCTTCAACCGAAAACTTAGAATGGAATCAAAGATTCAATTAACAAAGCTTCGAGTTCACATCCAAAAGATGATAATTTTTTGCGCTCAAGCAACTCCGTTTTTAATGTGGTGTATAAGGACATGAAAGTTATGAGCCTTTTCTCATGAAGAAAATTTTGAAATTCATGCACCGACAACATATTATTCCTCCTCCAGAATCATATGTAATACTGTTAATACAAGCACAAAATTGAGTCTCAACATAGGCCAAAAAGGATATTGAGAATATACATCAGATTTTAGAATGAAGGAAGTCACCCATGTATATTTAACTGTATATCAATAAATGTCACAAAGTACTTATATTGAGCATGAGAAATAACGGGCGTAATGCCTAAGACCATCATATGAATTATATCAAAACATTGGACAGCATGACCACCATTAGAGGAAAAGGAAGGTTTTGGGCTTTACCGAGTTTACATGTGAACAATAGAAGCGAAGTTCTTTATTGCCCAAGAAACCAGAATTTTGAATAAATGCAGACAAAATAACAGGATTAGGATGACCTAAAACGTCTATGCCATAATTCACTCTTACTAATAACGTAGTTACACAAAATGAAGAGATACGAGGAACGGAAAAGAGTAGTGGAAATAGTCTCCCAACTTTAGGCCCCTTCGCGATTATTGTCCCCGATGCCTGATCCTGCACAAGATAAGCATTACGAGAGAAATGCATAACTGACCAACCAAAAGAAGCTTAGTTGAGAGCTTTGGAGATATAAAAACATCGTTGAAAAGTTGAGAGCTTTGGAGATATAAAAACATTTTT